TTTCATATATATATAACAACTCTCTATATATATACTGAGTTTGGGTGGTGTTGTCTGATCGAGCTTACTTAAAACATGGCTGTTGTTGTATCGTCTAATGGGAATGCTCCGGCTTTCGAAGCCAAGATGACTGTTTATGTCTTCATCTGTGTTATGATTGCCGCGGTCGGTGGTTTGATCTTCGGTTACGACATCGGAATCTCCGGTTTATTCTCTTTCCCTCTTACTAGATTATCAACTTACTTGCAAATCAAGAAACCATAAAGAAACCCTACCTTGTATCTTAGGTTACATGTTCTTTGTTTTCTTTTTGGCTAATGTTAATGAATTTTGATTTTGGAAAAGGTGGAGTGACGGCGATGGACGATTTCTTGAAGGAATTTTTCCCCGCGGTGTGGGAAAGGAAGAAGCACGCGCACGAGAACAATTACTGCAAGTATGACAACCAGTTCTTGCAGCTATTCACATCGTCTCTTTACCTAGCCGCACTTGTGGCTAGTTTCGCCGCTTCCGCGACCTGTTCTAAACTCGGACGCAAGCCCACGATGCAGTTAGCTTCGATCTTCTTCTTGATCGGTGTTGGACTAAGCGCAGGAGCTGTTAATCTTGTCATGTTGATCATTGGAAGAATCTTTCTTGGCTTCGGCGTCGGCTTTGGCAATCAGGTATAAAAATGAATCTCAAAACGGGCTAGCTCGAAATCGAAATGACCTAACATTTATATGGAATATTTTCAGGCAGTGCCACTTTTCTTATCGGAGATTGCTCCGGCTCAGCTCCGAGGAGGTCTTAACATTGTTTTCCAACTCATGGTTACAATTGGAATCCTAATTGCCAACCTTGTCAACTACTTTACTGCCGAGGTTCACCCTAACGGATGGCGAATTGCTCTCGGTGGAGCCGGGGTACCCGCGGTTATCCTCCTGTTCGGTTCACTCCTTATCTGCGAAACCCCTACGAGCCTCATCGAGCGCAACAAGAACGAACAAGGCAAAGAAGCTCTAAGGAAGATCAGAGGAGTTGAAGATATCAATGATGAGTATGAATCAATCGTCCATGCTTGCGACATTGCGAGTCAAGTCAAGGACCCTTACAGGAAACTATTGAAGCCCGCGAGTCGCCCACCATTCATCATTGGAATGCTTCTCCAGCTTTTCCAGCAGTTTACCGGAATCAATGCCATTATGTTCTATGCACCAGTTTTGTTCCAGACCGTTGGATTCGGAACCGACGCAGCTCTTCTCTCCGCGGTTGTCACGGGAACCATCAACGTTCTCAGCACGTTCGTCGGGATCTACCTCGTCGATAAAACCGGCCGTAGATTCCTTCTTCTCCAATCTTCCGTTCACATGCTCATTTGCCAGGTCCTTAATTACTTCTCTGTTTCTTGGTTCTCAAGTAACGAAAACTAACGAATTCTTGAAACAGTTGATCATTGGAATCATCCTAGCTAAAGACCTCGGCACGACGGGAACACTCGGGAAGCCACAAGCCCTTGTGGTTGTGATCTTCGTGTGCGTATACGTGATGGGATTCGCTTGGTCATGGGGACCATTAGGATGGTTAATCCCTAGTGAGACGTTTCCTCTAGAGACTCGAAGCGCGGGGTTCGCAGTCGCGGTCTCCTGCAACATGTTCTTCACCTTTGTGATCGCGCAAGCCTTCTTGTCGATGCTTTGCGGGATGAGATCAGGGATATTCTTCTTCTTCAGTGCTTGGATCGTAGTGATGGGACTGTTTGCGATGTTCTTCATACCAGAGACAAAAGGAGTCGCCATTGATGACATGAGAGAGAGTGTGTGGAAACCACATTGGTTCTGGAAAAGGTATATGCTTCCGGAGGATGACCATCATGACGTTGAGAAGAGAAGTGCTTGAAATCACAATTCCCTGTTGCTTTGTTTCTGTTTCTGTTTCTGATTTGTGTTTCTTTCTTTCGTTGTTTCTTGATTCTTTCGTATCTTCTTCTTTTGTTTTCGTGGGAATAAATAAGTGTAATAAGACCAACTTGTTGATTCAGGTTAGGTATTCATTATCAATGAAATTCCATAATAGAGTTTTTTTCGAGCACTCGTTTTTTCCTCACATTCTGTTTTTCATTTATATAGACTTTCTTTGTTTCTTCAACATAGTATGCATCAAATTCAGTTCAAAATGTGTAAAAATCATAAGGCCTCTTTGTGTCTTGTACTTAATATGGTATAAGATTTCACCAAAATAGATTCTCTGTTCTGACTGTACCAAGTGCAGGGCAACAAAATCAAACAAGCAATCCGGTTTAGGCTTCAACAAACCAGAAATTATAAAACCAAAATTAATTGAACCACAACCTTCTGCTCCGATTAACGTTTTTCAATGCATTTTTTTCTTCAAAAGACTCATTACTCACTCTCCTTCGATATCTGCTCTAACCAAAGTCAAAATGCAAAACCATAAGATACTGAAGGGAGTGTCAAGTTCCACAAACACTTCAAACTAATATAGCAAAAACCGAAACAAAAAGATTATGTTGGTGTGAGCAAATCTCTCTAGTCAGGAAGTATTTGCTCGTTGTCTGCATCTCCTTCTGTCTCAATGGTAGGCTTTGAAGGTCCAGCTCCAGGAGGTGCCTTCTTCTTGATTCCACTCACTATATCATCAATCCTCAAAAGCATACACGCTGCTTCGATTGCTGTCTTAAACGTTTGTGCCTTCACATTGTACGCATCCCATATCTAACCACAAAGTTCAAAGTGTTATCAAGTGTCGAGAAACATATATTCAGCAGAGAACAAAGATTTTTTTTATTCTTACCTTGCTCTCTTTCATGTCAGCTATTGCACCGGTATTCCCATCAATTCCGGTCCAAGCATTCTCACCATTTGCGTGCTAATACCAAAAACACCCAAGGTTTTAATCAATGAGAGAAGATCGGTATTAGAAAATATCCAGATATGAAAAACAATGGTAGACGTAAATATACCTTTCCTTGCAATGCTGTCATTGTTCTGATAACGTTAACTCCACAGTTCTGAGCTAGAGTACGCGGAATAGCCTCGAAAGCTATAGCAGCTGCTTCATAAGGCCACTGTTTCAATAAACCTCAAAATTAGAGAGACCAAATTCATTCTCGGAAAAGATCACATCAATAGGCAAATGGATAAAAACCATAGCCAACCTTTTCGATTCCTTCGATTGTTGCACTCTTCTGCTTTAAAGTGGCAGATACCGTTAATTCTGTGGCTCCGCCGCCAGGAACAAGCTTTGGGTTCTTGATGATGTTTCTTGAAACAGACATGGCATCCTGTAGGAAGGAACGTATTAAGTTCAAGTATATGATCATGACCAACTTGAGTAATATCTTATGTTTAGTAATATCACTCACGCACCTGAAGATTTCTTTCCACTTCGTTGAGGAGATCTTTGCTTGGTCCTCTTAAGAGTACAGTACATGCTTTAGGTTCTTTGCAATCAACAATGAAGGCAAAGAAATCATCTCCTATCTTCTTGACCTCAAACAAGCCAGCGCCGGTACCAATATCAGACTCTTGAAGTTCGTCAGGCCTGTTCACAATCACGGCTCCACACGCCTTAGCGATTCTGTTGTTGTCCGTCTTTCTCAACCTTCGGATTGCACTAACCCCAGCTTTACTGAAATAGTGACAGGCCAAGTCACTAAGTCCCTTCTCGGTAATTACCAAATCGGGTTTGAACTTTAGTATTTGCACGCAGATGTTCTCGATGTACTCCTCTTCCAGTTTCAACAGCACTTCCCAGTCCTCTTCTCTAACCAACTCGGCATTGGTTTGGTTTTCACCTTTCTTGTACTCAAGGGGGCAGTCAAGAAGAATAATCCTTGGGTTGACAATCTTTCTCTTCATTTTACCAGGAGCAACAACGTCTTTGTTAAACATGACTCCTTTGAGAACCTTGCAGTCCTCCAACTGACCACCAGGGACCTTCTCAACCTTAATGTATTTTTTAATATCCACCTCCCTTAAACCTTGTCCAAGATCAACACCAACGGTAGTGGTGGCATCAATAGCCAAATCCTAAAAGAGCCACATAAAGTCATGTAAGAACTTGAGCACAATACTTTGTGACAATCCGTTCAGACAGCTGGGAAACATGCTAAATAATGGGTCGCTTGTGATAATTTAATATGTTGCATGCATGTAAATGTGTTTATGATGTAATGTATTTAAAAACCTATATGGTAAAAGCCAGCCATGTGATGCAAAAGGCAATATCTTCAGTAATTAAAGTACTCACAGCAATCAGATCTCCAAATTGGCTAGTGAATTTTGTTCCTATGCAGCTCTTGACTAATCCTAGTACGGTTGCACCTGCAAAATAAACATTCTTGAATCAGTAAACATGAAGGAGAATCACAAGATCAGGAAAACAAAGTCCGTCCACCTTGGCTAAAAAAATATCAAGAAAAAGAGCAGAAATGGACTTACGGTCATTGACATCGATTGTCATGGCAATCTTGTCAAGAACAGCGATAGCATCCTCGAGAGCCTTATTATATGCTGCAGATAAGAAAACGTTGTTCAAATGATTACAGTAAGAAACATAACACTGCGGAATAGTAATGAATTATACGCAAAGCATACCTCGGCATATGACAGTGGGATGGTAACTCTTCTCAATAAATGCTTCGGCAACATGTAACATTTCACCAGCTGTTAAAAAAGAAAAAATCAGTGAGTAAGACAGCAGAATTATGTAGCTTTCAGAACACATGCATTTGAAACATATCACGTAAGTTCCAAATCCACAATAAAACATCACAGCAGTGCCCATTACAGTCTCCAAATCAAACCTAGTTGTAGACACTAATTTAAACAAAGGAATCACCAGATATATACTGTACATACCAAGAACAATAACGGATGTAGTTCCATCACCAACTTCTTCGTCCTGTGTGCGGCTCAATTCAATCATCGACTGCAATCAACACCAAGAGAAAAGAAAATATCAACAAAAGAAGAACGAGAAGACAACAAGAACGCTCAGGTGAGGGAAGAAGTAAAACCTTAGCTGCAGGGTGAGCAACATCTAATTCACGCAGAATAGCATTTCCATCATTGGTAACAACAATTCCTGTCAAGAGCCACAAATCAAAGAATTTAGCAGATAAAACAACCCCTAAGCTTAGCAGAAGAGATCCACAAAAACCCTAACAAAAGCAAAACAATTATTTAGGGTTTATGCACAGCTAAAACAGAAGATGAAGTGGAGAGTACAGTGAATTACAAATCTGTGAAGACTGAATCTTTTCAAAAGGCATAAACCCTAACCTAATCCTCGTCTCTTTTAAGATCTATAG